TTAAACAGACGATTTTATATGAACTCTCCTAAGATCACCTACCTGTAGTTCTATAAATAGGCTCTCCGGAAACTGGTCCTCCCCCCTTATCACATATATAAAAATTCACCAGTTGAAAACTTTTTAAGAATCTTCTAGACAAAAAACTTAAAGACATCTCCCTCGCACTACTCAATGATTCAGTAGCTAACTTTGAAAGCTCCATCTTTCAATCATACCAGAAGTCCTCTACCACTATGAGACAATCATATTTAAAAGCACATCCGCTGACAGGAGTTGAAGTTCTTCTTCAATCCAGGAAACAGCCAAAGAAGAAGTTTGCGTTAAATCGACCCCCTGAAGACAAACTTTACTAAACAAACTTGGCTAAAAAGAAAAAAAAAGTTTCCTCACGCTTCACAACCGAGAATGGGAGAATAAGCTTTCTAATCTAGGAAATAACAATAGCCCTCGTTCTAAATAGCAATTCATTAAATCGGTGAAGGACCGCCATAAACAGTACAGCTTCCCATTAAAGTCGAAACCCGGGGCTGTTTACGACCACAAAGAGAAAGCGGAAGTGTTTGCTCAATGTTTCATGTCCCATTGCACACCCGTAACAAACTTCTTTAGATAGGACCACTACCCTCACACAACCCTTATCTTCCTCTACTAAGCAAGCACCGCTAAAGGGCCACACAAACTTCGAAGAGGTACAATCAATTATTAATACCTTCTCAACTGATAAGTCTCCAGAGCCAGAGGGCATAACAAACCTCATGCTAAAAAACTTACCTGAGTCGACCATAAAAACTTTCACCTTATAATTAGCGCCACTCTTAGTTTTTCACTATTCCCAGATCGATTGGAAGTGACCACTGTTATTTTTCAACCAAAATTAAAAATTAAAAAACCTTACCTCCGCGGACTACTCCCTTGAAGTCTACTCCTCGTGCTGGCAAAGTAGCAGAGACAGTTATAACAAAAACATTTCATCCCCGAAAACCAATTTGGGTCCAGAAGGGGACATTCAACTACGCCGCAACTCTTGAGGTCCACCGAGCGCGTGACAAAGGGATTTAACAAACACAAGCCTACATGTGCTGTTCTTTTAGATATTGAAAAGGCTTTTGATAGAGTTTGACATGCGGGTCTCATAACAAGAATGATCAGCCTTAGAACGCCATATTACCTCCCCTCCCTTATTGAATTATTTCTGCACCGCAGAAAGTTTTTTACTAAAATTGGAGGCCTGCTCAAGTTTAAGGGAACTCAGGGAAGGCGTACCACAAGGTTCCTTACTTTCATCCATCCCCTTTTCGATTTACATGGCAGACATACTAATACCGACCAATACGTCAACATTTTTATCACAATTCGCTGATGACACAACTATCTTTTCTATTTCTAAACATGTGCAAGTATACATTTAAAGGACCGAGCTGTAGTTCGCCCAGTGGCACCTTATTATCAACCCTTCCAAGAGCGCAGTCATAATCATTACTAAAAAATGTAAAAGACTAAATGTTCAACCAATTGCCATTAACGGTACACGCCAGTCCTTGGCGCCCTAACATAAATTATCTGGGAGTAATCATAGACAACGGACTGTCCTGGCGCAACCATATTGATCATGACACGAAAAAGGCTAAACTAGGTATCAAAAACTACTATTCCCGCTTATCTGCCGGAAAAGTCGCCTCTTCAAATCCAACAAACTTCAACTTTATCTCACCACTATTTTACCAAATACGACCAACGCAATTGTGGCGTGGTCATATTGTCTCCCTGCCATTATTTAGTCATTCCAAGTTATAAAAAACTCTATGCTATACTCTTGATAAATGGCATTCCTTGGTACTCGAAGAGAACGCCATTTAAGGCACCAACCGTCCCCTTGGTCAGGTGAATAATTTGTTGGGTTTTCAACTGTCCTTTTTAAATCCAAACTTACTGGGGTAAAATTATACGAGCACCAACATCCATCTGCCAAGGTTTTAATGACTACTTAGCTAATTTACTAAGTGTCAACAAAGAAAACTGATTGGTCAGTATTATCGAGGTGCTGAAGCCAGTTGCGAGACCATGGGAATATCATGATTATAGCCATTTTCCAGCACCGAGTTGACGATGTAGCACAGAGATTGATAGTCACCCCCTTCATTTGTTGTAAAATTAGGTAAATAACGTTTTCGGGGCCGGGTACCTTTCTCATTGGGAGCGCCTTGTCAATCGATTTGATAATATTAGTGCTGCGCAGTTTAGGGTGTCAGCTTTTTAGTAGAGGAAAAACTTCTTCCGAAGGGGCTTTTTGAAAAGTAAGGAGGTAGGTGGCGAACACCTGCCAGCAAGATGGTTAGCAAAGAGTTTTGATACTCTTCATCGCATTCCGCGACGGTATCGCCATTTCGAGGTGGTGGTTAAGGTTTATGCCTGTGTCTTCTAACTTGTCTGAGGGTTATATCGAAGAAGGCTGTACCGTTCTTTCCAGCTTTGACACTTCTCTAATTTACTACTCCATATCAGTTTTGGGGCGTCATCAGCTTTTTTCTGATGTGCTAGTGCAGGTGGTTTAGTGCCAATTTATTCAACCCCCTGAAAATCATGAACAGTTGGATGTGGTGCCGACGCTCGAATATTAGCGCCTTTAGCTCCTTAGGCAGGCTTCTAAGGCGGTGTCAATGCCACGAGTCATCGTTGCGTTGGTGTGAGCTTCTGTCACCGCCACACTCAAAGCCGGCAACAGGATTGCTCAGTAAAATAGGGATTGTAGTGGTGTGGAGAACGGCGGGACTGCTTTCTTGATCAATTTTATTTCATATGCTTCATTTCTTTAAACACCGAAAGAGTGTCTTTCATGCTTTCTTTATTCGTCCAATCCGAGCAAACCAGCTAAGTGATCCGATGACACCTCCAGTACCTCAATAGCCACGTGAAACATATAACCTTGAAGGCGAAGATATTGTAACACGACCATTGTGCTCGACTACTTAACATCTGTGTCGGCGGTTTGTGGTTCTAGGGCAGAGCTTTCAATCCGCTCTCTTCAACGTAGGCTCAGTGATGTAACCTATCCTATTTGGGGCCCGGATATTCTTTTTAGGGTGTTTGCAGTTAAAATCTCTGCTTATAATGAGTGAAGAGTCACGTACTAGAGAAGCATTAAGCTCGTAAGACGTCTCGGTGGGGTTAAAAATTGCATTCACAGCCACGGGTCCCTGTCTAGCCAAGGTGAGGGGTGTGCTATTGGGCGGTGTTAAATGCTTCGTTTTATAATAATACCAACACCTCCGCCAGTATAAAGCCCATGCATCTTATATTTGTGTTATATGGGTTTAATATCCTAACAGTAACGTTGCATTAGTTTTAATATATAGACGCAATGTTTCTTTCTATCCACTAATGCAGCGTATGCTTATTGTGTTATTTACAATAATTTACAACCCTAGCCCGCTTAATGAAAAGCGCTGTGCTCATTTCTTAAGGGACGTGTGCCTGATTATCATTGTTCCTTTGCACTTTCTTCGCTGATATTTCGGGAATTTGAGTGTTAAATTACTTATATTTATAGTCAGCGTTTTTTTAAAATAGTTGTTGTCCTAGTTTTTTATATATTAGTTCTCATTTTGTCTATTTTATATAAGCAACTTTATATATATATGTTATTATATCGGTTTCCTCACTTAACTTTATGGTATATTTTTTGAAGAACTTATAGGCTGTTACAACTTAACTTTTTGTCTTTGTTGGTTATCTATAAAAAAATTGTCTTATTCTCTTACACTTCTTCCAAAAGTTTCTATATAAAGTTTTGGCCAAGTTATGTCACGATATATTTAAGGGCTAGATTTTTTTTGACTTTTCCCATTACAGTTAATTTTATTACTTTGGCAATTAAAAATTGTGTAAGAATATGCATAATACATATATTTCTTGTTAAATTGAATCATGCAGTTTACATATTTGTATCTTTGTTTATTTTGCTACGGATAACTAACCCAAGTAAACATTAGTGCGCTTTTATTGGAGATAACAATCTTGTAATACTATTACCATGGACCTGAATATAAACCCTAATTTACAATAAAGTTGCAAGCAAAGGGTTGCTCCTTTCTGGTGAGGGGCTCCTAGCCGGGGAGAACTGTTTGGCAGTGGTGCTGGCCAGTATCACCGGGTGGCCTCGGATCTTATGCCCAAGACTGCCTCTCCCGGTAGCGGTTTTTAGCGGTTTTCCACCACACTAGACCAAAAGGCGGAAGCCAGGGGCCCAAGATTTCCCGCTTTTTCATTGCTTCGGGACATTCATTATAGCTCTCCAAAAAGCGTACACTGGAGGTCACTCGTGCCCCAACCTCAGATTAAGCGGCTTAAGATCTCTTACGAAGAACGGCCTTGGTATGCCAGTGCTATAAAAAAAAAAAAAGTTGCAAGCTTTTGCTTTCCGGTTACTGATCTCTTTATTTTGTTCTTAGCGATGCTGTTAGCCGGTTATAGAGTCTACATACCGCCAGTTGGTTAGGGCAATCTATATATATTAACACTTCCCTGGTGAATGTTGCACTCTAAGAGAAAAGTATGGTACTGTAAAAAGTGACATAATACATATTTAAGGCTATGTTTGCTTTCTTTTTGCACATTTGCGTAATACATTTTGTGAGTTGACTATAACTAAAACATTTAAAAATTATAATACTGTCACATACTTCCTATGACTTAAAGTTTTCAATTTACACCTATGTTAAGGAGCTGTTAAAATTTAAAGGTATAACAAAGACCAAAAGTTAAAGACAGGCGCATAATGAATTGGATCCATAATGACTTTTAGTTAGCTGAGCCAGAAGGAATTATATAATTAAACTGATATGTAAATGTCATATTTAAACCAAACAAAATATAAATTTCTGATATAGCATTCTTTTCTATTCATGTACGAGGTAGATTGTTTGCATCAGTAATAATTACCTTTTATAGTTATTAACTTGAACTAGTTTTTAGTTTTGTAGCCTCGTAATTTTGAATGGCCCATCACCCTGAAACCTTTTTTATTTTACTACTCGAGCGACCTATTTACTGCCGTCACAAAGCGGGTTCAAAAATTTCCTTTGCTATATATTTTTTCTTGTTGTCAAACTAAAAATTTAGTCCTTTAATTTCTTTTTACTAATGTAAAGCAATCAAAAGTTTTGCTATTTCTAACAAACTTTTTTCTTTAAAAACAGTTTTTTTATATAAATCACTACTTTTTTTAGTACCTTATATTTATCTTAGTTGAGTTCTATTAATTTTTATAGGCCCTGTGAGCACTCGTTATTTTTGGAAACGTAACGTGTAGATATATGCTCACCTACCACCATGAGTATATAAGCTTATTAAAACTTATTACATTAATTATCATCACAACAGTTTTTAACGGTTATATTTTATGTACACACAGCTTTAGCTAATGAATATAAAGAGGAAAAACGAAAAGGTTTTATTTTCTATATAGATGTTTATATTTTACAAATGTAATTTTGTTACGCCAATCAGACGATCAGCCCACCCCCAAAGTTCTCAATGGATTTGTGGGGATAGCCAATCTTCCTAACCAAGTCCACCGCACGGTGCTTAGAGAAGGATTTCAATTTACCATTCTGGTTGTAGGTAAAAAGTATATAGTAACTTTTCCTCTAAGTTTTAATATTTTTCATAGGAGAAAGCGGTGTTGGTAAATCCACTTTACTCAATGCTCTTTTTCTAACGGATTTATACATTCGAGGGGAATACCCTTCGCCAGGCTCCGAAGGCCGTATTGTTGAAACGACTAAAATATTGTCAACCACCGTTTGTACACTTTTTTTTTAATTTTTTTCTAATGTATTTCTTAATAATCATATATAAAAAGCTCTTCAAGAAAAGGGCGTTCGCCTTGATCTAACTTTAGTGGATACACCTGGATTTGGAGATGCCGTGGACAATACTTTAAGGTATTTTATAAAATTTTACTCTAGCAATATTTTTCGTGTCATCCTAAAGTTCATAAGCTAATATTCTGTTTTCTATGAATTTAGTTAATATATAAATTTTTAATAACCAGCATTGCACCTGTGGTGGAGTATGTGAAGAAGAACTTTGAAATTTATTTAGACATGGAGTCTCGCGTTCGTCGTTGCGCCTTTCCAGACACACGCGCTCATGCTTGTTTGTATATTATTCCGCCGACCTGCCACGGTAAAATTTTTTTATAATAATATAAAATAATTTTTTTCTTTTTCATTTAAATTAATTTTAATTTATATTGATTTCGAAATAATATTATTTAAATTTCAATAACAAGGTTTAAGAGCTATAGACGTTAAATTTATGAAAGCGTTAAGTGATTACGTTAATATCATTCCCATCATCGGGAAATCAGATTCTCTTAATAAATTTGAGATGTTTAATTTCAAGCGAAAAGTTCGCGCCGATATATTAAAGCATCAACTCACAATTTTTACGTTCGACCGTCCTAGAGAAGATCTGGTCAAAGAAGATTTTATCATTCCCTTTGCCGTTACCGGTAATAATTAATTTTATTGATCAAACTAAATATTCAATTTTATATAGTAATTAAATTAATTTGTCACCGTCATTTACTATAAATGTGAATATTTATATATATAATATTACTTATAGGAGTTCATTAACTTTTCTGTGTAGTAATAATAATAACGAATATATATACTGACTTTTAGCCTCGACCAAAATGATCGACGTGAATGGAGAAAAAGTGCTGGGGAGGGCCTACCCATGGGGCTCCATGGGCATCAACGATGCGAACTACAGCGATTTTGTTTTACTTCGGCAATTTTTACTTCGTAAGTGTGTATAAAATCAATAATTAAGATGAATTATTTATTATATTAAGGAACGCATCTTCAATCTCTTCGGGATCACACTCACGAAGTTTTATATGAAAAATTTCGCGTGAGTTTTTTTTTTACTAAAAACAACCACGTGATTAAATTTTATATATTTTTTTAGACAAACTATTTTTCTTCTCTACGGAAGGCCGGAGTTACTGGAAATAATTTAATGGAAGTCTTCCGAGAGGAAATGAAGCTCCATGATCGCGAACTTGCGCAACTTCGAGAAAAGTTGCGTAGCTTGTTTGAGGAGAAAGTGGCTGAAAAGGAAGCTCAGTTGGAATTGGAATCTTTAAAGGTCCTTCGTATAGCAAAAGTGTTTTAAAGTAGCTAATTGTTATTTTTTACAAAGTTAAAAGAAGAAGTTTGTCGCCACGAAAAGCTCATCAACGAGTGCAAGCTAAAAGTGGAACAACTGCAGAAGACCCTGGAACAGGAAAAAAGTCAGTTGATGGTACTTTTGTGGGGGGTAAGAGCGCTATTAATATAACTCATTCTCTTCGTTGCTTAGTCCACTGGAAAGATGAAGAAGAAAGAAAAACAGTAAAGACTCAAGCCCTCTGCTCACTTTTGTAGTCAGAGCTGAACTATACGAAACTTTTGTAAAAAGCTGTCCAGCAAATAAACTTTATATACAATAAAATCAATTTTAGAAGCTTCTTAGCTCAAAGTTAGCGACCAGAAAGATTTTAAAGTATTAGGCACACCGCTGCATATTTTGTCATATAATCTTACTACTATTGCTAAATTATCCAATGGAAACTCGTTATTTAAAAATGCTTTCTATTTTAGCTCTTAAACGAATTTCCGCGTCTTTGAAATATTTACTTAAGAACGCTATAGTGGTTTTAACTCTCCTTGTGAAAACATCATTAACTTTATTAGGTATTGACTATTTTCCATTAATCTAACCTTTTCAAAAACTCTTTTTCAGGTCTAGGCATTTTTTACAGTTTGACTTTAGGCCTCATTTGTATTAACCTCTCATTCTGTTTCCTGCTTTACGAGAAACTCTTAACTTCGCCTAACCTAACTCTAATCATCTTACTACGTTGCGGTCGTCTGCCTAGGGATACTCGCCGTCTGGAAATTCTTAGAGTGTACAGTGCATTTAATTAAAACGGTTGTTATGTAGTTCTTCTTAAGAGTGCTCAGATCGTCTGAGTTATTATTGTGCCATCCGCTACCTCTACTATCCCCCTTACCAACGAGACATTGAAGAGTTTTGCACTCATAAATCTAACCTTTTTTTTCTATGCTCTCTTATGAGGAGGTTCCCGGCAGCCACCTGCATGTGTTATTTTTAATACTTCCCATTGCAAGAGCCTTTCATGCGTACTTTCGATAACAGTTATAAACAATTTTTACCACCTTAGCAGAAATCATTTTTCGGTTTTTTGTGTTTAGAGTTATACTACGGTTTATATGCTATAGCGCCCGTTAATACACTAGTTAAACTTTCGGTAAACTACTTTCAATATTTTGGGGGTATAGGCAACTATCCAGTAATAACTAGAATTCTGTAAACAGTCGAAAAGGACACTCCCGCAATATTTTCAAGTGTTAAAATTAATATTCAATTAATACGATCAGAAATGAAGGCGTACGATATTATGGGTCTTATAAAACATTTGGTAAACTCATTGTGCTAAATTAAGCAACGTTATTAGATAAGAGAAAGTGCAGCAATCCGGAGTTTAAAGGTTGTGCTCATCGAGGATGATGCTTAATCACCAAGCCATCTATGAAGTCCTACGAAGATAAAGATGCGCAAATAAGTGTGTTCGAAGTAACATATTATTGAATACTACTAATGTTAGATAAAAAGAACTATCGTTAAGCTAGGTAGCAAAGAACGCAGAACTAGACTGTAGGAGAAAGGAAACTAAACGAGGGCACTAAGTAAATAATATCGCGTAGAAATAAAAATTAAGAAGATCACAGAACAATAATCGAGAAGAACGGAAATTAAACACGGAAAGACAGCACTTAATATAAAGAATATAGCAAAATTGTTTAATTTAAGTGGAAGACGTTTAATTTATACACCCGCAAGAGAACAAGAGAAAGTAATTAGTTGCATTCTCATTACAACTAAAAAAGGTCAATACTTTAATGTAGACGTCATTTTTGGCTCAACTATACTAAAATCCCTGGGATAATTGATTTTAAAATGAACGGAGCAATCTAATAAGGCATTGGAGAACCGCTGATTTAATGTTGTTGCCTACTGTTTGCATTGGATGCCCATAAACTTCTAACCGGGTACTAACAGTGGGGCATCTCATTATGACTTATATTTGTTGAAACACTATTTGATACTGTTTACGTCAAACGACGCCCAGGGGCGTTTTGTAAGCAAAGATTATGTGCTTAATTTTTTTTATAGAACTTTGTTAATTTGTTAAAGTTCTAATTTATTGAGTTTATGTTTGTGTTCTGCGTTTATACCATAAAGCTAAAGATTGCTCTAAGCCAAAAACATTTGAAAATATAACATGTACCATCTTTAGTAGTATTTGGAATAGTTGTTACTTTAAAATGCTTATAAATACTGAGGTTCATGTTTGAAAATAATTAGTGTTTTTGAGGTAAAGTATTTTAGCAACTGCTACACATGTTGAATTTAACTGCTTTTTAAAAGTTCATATGACGTTTTCGTGTTAATAAACGTTTGTTTGGTCTTTTGCTTCTTTAAACTTGTTTAAACGCCCCTTAACGCTCTCTTGTAGAGCGCACAACTTAATAAACTAGGTGTGAAGTAACCTTGGCAGTCTTAAAAAAATGAATAAACTGTTACTGCTCTGTTTAAAAAATAGAAATATAGATTTAAATTTAGCATAGAACTTGTTTATAAAGGTCAAATATTAACTACCATATAACTATCTTAAAATTTCTAGTTGAAAGGAAAAAAGTAGTTTTCAGCCTCGTGATACACTCTATAATAAATTATATCCTGATGCTGTTGATCCATATAATTTAATAAAGCTTTTATCTCAGGGTAATGTTCGATAGCTACCCTTTGAAAGGCGTTTGCGCCTACGATATCACTTGTGGGAAACAGCTCTTTGCCTGGCAGCTTACCTTTTAAAATATTTCCAAAATATTCATTATTACTTTTTAAAGATCTCGTAATTTCTTCATTTAACGTGAAAAAAAATCGATTATTTTTATGAGAGGCAAATATTTCGTTAGAAAGCGTATGCCTTACCGAATTTCCGTACCACTTTTTGGTAGGTAAAGCCAGCAAAATATCTTGAAGTCTTGCTTTGAAACTTCTTTGAAGGGTTCTTAATGGTACTTCAGAAAAAGGAGCAAAAAGGCCCCCTTTTTCTTTAATAATTTGGTATTTCATAATATTATGAGTAACTTCGGAAAACTTATTTAATTTTGCGGCCTCGTAATATTTACCTAGTACACTTTTGGTAAAAAATGAGTTAAAACTTGGATCTTTTCTAACGTTATTCCATAAAAATTCGCTTTTTCCTTTCTTTATACGGTTAAATTCACTAATAAGAGAGTCACTTATATCATAATGAATTATTATGTTAGGAAAGTTCTGGTAAGCATCTATAATACTCCCGAAAGATAAATCTTGAACAAAAAAATTAATAATATCAGGTAATTTTTCAATATTACTTGGAATTTTAGGTATTATAGGTAACATAATTAATTTGGAACTTGTTGAGGAAGCTTTAGGAAGATAATATTCCCATGCTTTAAACGTTCTCCAGTTTCCTTTTTCAAAAATTACTGGCCTATAAAAACTGAGTCTCCCCCAGTGTGAGGTGTAATATAATGCCCAAGACTCTAAATCAATGTCATAAAGAACACTAAATATGTCTCTGTTAATCTTCGCAAATTCATCTATAACGAAAGAGGCTGAATTCTTAAATACTACTTCTTCCATAGGGACAAAAACTGGTCTGGATAAATGAAAATTTGCAAGTTCGAGAGATGCTGAGAAAGTAAATTTCTCTTCTAGAACTTCTATACCCTTTTCATTGTTTAAATATGCCAGTTGGTTAGTTTTTTCAATTTCTTCAAATTTATTATTGATTCTTTTATAAGTATAGAGCCCTCTAACGTCACTATTTGTGGAAAACATAATGCGAGGTTCTTCATTAACCTTAAGAATTCCTATATTATATTTTTGCATCAAAAAAACACTGGCAGGGTCTTCTAATATTGAAATAGAAGGGTTAGAGTGTGCCTGTAAGGCTCTATACCACTCATTGTTATATTTAGTTAGTAAGCGTGTTAGTTGTTCAAAGTGTTGGTCTATTTCGTTAAAAAATTTTATATCGGAAAATCTTAGATGATAAAGTTCTCCTGAAACGTCTTTAGTGGACTTATAATACTCTAGGTACTCATTATAATCATCAAAGGTATATATCACACTTTTAGTAAAAATACTATCATGACTATCTACAACCGTACCGCTACTTTTAGCGAGTTTCAAATTGTCTAAGAAACTATTCAGAAGCAGAGCTGTTTTACCTTCCTGACCTAGAGAGGTAAAAAAGTTGCTTGGGTATATATATTGGCTCAACTTTTCGTTATAAACTGGTGTTGGCAATAGCACTCCAGCCTCATCTACCATGAGTTTGCTGTTAAATGTGTTTATGGGTATTTCATGGTCTAACGTTAGAAAGATCCCCGGATTTGTTTGGCTTAGCTTAAGTCTTATAAGTAAAGAATGGAGGTCATCTTGCCCAGGTTCCAAGTAGGGTTCTATACTTTGCACAAATTCAGGTATATCCTCCATTTTTTCATAATCAATAATTTTAAGGAAAGAAATAGAATTTTCCGCCTTTAAAAAAAAATTAATAGTGGCTTCTTTTCCGTAAGTATATATAACTATGCGGTCACTTTCTATGACTGAATTTTCAAAAGCTTTCTGGTAAACGCTTAAGAGGCTAAAAAACTTCTCTGGGATCTCTCCAGTTATAACAAAGTTAAGTATAATTGGAACTTCCCTTACATTACTGTCTAATGTAATTTGAGGCAGGAAGCGATAGAAATCCTCATGAGTTATAAAGGTATTTTTTGGCTTGAGATAGAAGGCTGTTTCTTGTAGTTCAACCCATCTTTTGTCAGTAGTAAATGCTAGTCTGTTCATACCACCCTCAAGATACCAGCAACCGTTGTGCTCATTGTATAACACAGTTTTTTCTTCACCGTTAATTAAAACGGTGTACTGGCCATCTTTAAATATCAGCCCGTTTATCTGTTTTGTAGGACCTTCTGGATCGGTTTCATACACAAAACTAATTTTTTCCCTCCAGTCTGTAGGGAGAAGTGGAAAGCTCTCTTCAAAACTTTTGTGAGGAATTACTACTGTTAATTCCGGAGACAATTCCTCCCACTCCTCATTAATTGTGAGTGCTAGACTTCCGCTAGTACCCTGTTTAAATTTATATCTCCAGCAATTTCCATTTGGATCGTAATATACAGTTTTTATCTCTTTTTTAGAATTTTCTATAAAATACTTATCGGATGGTTTTAACTCATGCGACAACAGAGATTCCTTGCTACTATCTACAATACTGTTAACCTCGTTTTTAACTTTGATCCCATTCAAGGGTACCAGGTTGTATTTTGTAACTTTCAAAGGCGGAATCTCATCCTCCGCGCCACCTAGAAGTTTCATATTTTCCAATTTACTTAATT